TCATACTTCTTTAAATCTATATCGATAAAGACGACCTGACCCTTCAACATAATTAATCTGTGTTTATTTCTTCCATAATTTAGACGCACTTAAACTCCCTGTTAGCAAATAATCTTAGTTAACTTAACGATGAACTGTTTAAGCTAACAACATACATACTAATAATTAAATAATTAAAGGTTATCATTCCATTTGAGAATAAGATCTAACAGATCTGATGGAATTGTTAAATAAAATGATTCAACACCGACCTGAGTTTTATACTCACAATTCAGAAAGTTGGATCTTTGATTCCTACAAGGTATAGTTTGAATCAAAAATAGCTATTAGTGCTTTTAGTAGAGCTCAAAACATTATTCCAGAAAGGCAGCTTCATGTCTGTAGTTAAGAGGGTAATTATTATTAAATTTTCATGTATTGTAAAGTAATTTAATTTGATTTCTAATTTTCTTTGGAAACTTTCAGATCCCATTATATCTCTATACTATAATATTTATCAGCAACTCAACCACTTCCTCTTTAGAAGAAATGGTGAAGATCGCGCAATATTATCACTCCAGTGATTTGCGCTTCAATTTACTCGAGTTATCAATGAAATTAGTTTAGTTAATCATTTTATTAGCATAGCAGAATGTTTGTTAATTTAAAATTTTGGGTTGTTACTTCCTCTTTAGCTTATAAATTATAGTTTATACATAATTTTTTATTATTATTATGTCCAATCACCAAAATTAAATATTGCTTAAAATAATTTTTTGTATTTATACTTGAACTTTTTGAAATTGTCCAATTTTTTAAAATTAAAACGCAACGAATGTAAACTCCGTGAACAAACTCTTGCTGGTACAATTATCAGCTCGGATTTTTTCGAATTAATTCAGTCCGAATGATAAAATTTCAATTAAAAAATATTTTTTTATTTATTAAAAATATTGGACTGATATTTAAAATTAACGTTAAAAATATAAATAATAAAAATTTATTTATTATTTTTTAATTCTTCAAAATTGTTTTTAAACTTATGAAATCTTGATTAAGATAAAGAATCGAATCGGGAATAAGAAGTCTTAAATTTGTGAACAAAGTTTATCTATTCGAACATATTATGCATAATGAAATGAACGGTTTAGAAAATTCAAGAAAAGTTTTACTTAATCGTTTCATATTACACCTTTATTAATAATAGTTAAAATTTATTATTTCACTATTGTGGCCAGCCGCTGTTTACAACTGACTTGAATCGATCCAACCCCTAAAAAAGTTTTTTTTTTAAAAAATATAATTTATTGATCATTTGCGACATACATAAATGCACTAGTATTCTTTTAATGCATCAACAGAAATTAGTAAATTATCATGAGAAATGCTTTGAAGATTTCATTGATTTTCACATAAAAATTTTCTGTTTTTTTATTATTTTAAAATCAAATTTGTAAAGTTGAAAAAAGCTTATCTTTCTATTTAAGCGGCAACTTCTAGTGAATATTACTAAACATTTTATATTAACATAGAGATAAAATTAAATATATATAGATAATTAATTAATTTTATAACAACTTCTTCATAATAAGGTCTTACTAAGATTATTATGCATTCTAAGTATCAAAAAGAAGACGTTATTACAAATATTCGTCAGATTCGTAAATTTAATATTTATGAATCTTCTAAATTCGACGATCATTTATTAACAATCATTTCACCAACAAATTAAGATCTTTTCACCAACTACTATTTTCGCTGACGATCATTTTACAGTCAAGATTATATCACTGACATACTGAGCGGGATTATTTTATTATAAATTAGTAATAAAAGCTTGTTATTCCATATGATGTGTGGGTTTGTGTATTCACAGGATATATATATAATTAAATGCGCATAAGCACATATGATTAATATATAATACATGCATAAATTCACACATCGTATGTATCTCATTGTGTATGACGTATACACTGGTGGAATTTTATTCACTACTTCATGCCTTTATTGCTATCTTACAAACTTTATTGTTATCTTACAAAATTAATTTTATCATATTGTCTTGTAGAAGAAGCAATTTACCGTATATTGCGAGACATAGTACCCCGAGTATCTTGCAAATTTCGGATGATTGACCTTATACTACCAAGTCTATAACTTTTATAATTACAGAAATAGAATGTGTTAAAGACTTGTATAACTATCAGAAAATTGTTTAATGCATAATTTCTGGTTAAAATTAGATTTTTAAATAATAAAAACAATAGAAAATGTAACTTTTTTCGAGTAAAAAAAGGGGGGATACAATGCATGGGAGATATCATGGATCACAATATATAGTATATTATAATAAAACTAAAAGAGATGGATATTACACAAGTATTCTGAGTGGAATGAAGAACAAGAAGTCAATTAAGTTTTATATTTACAATAAAGAAATGCATTAAATTCAAGAACTTTAACTAACAAAAAATTTTATTTTTATATTATAAATATATTTTTTTAAATTAATAAATAGCAATAAGATTTAATTTTTAACATTAAATTCTGAGTGAATACTCAGAATATTAAAGATATATATTCATAATACAGTTAAATATCGATTAATGAATATAACAAAATTCAGACAATATTTATACTTATATTTACCAAATTCTGTCACCAATTTTTTTCTTTCTTTTTTAGTAATTGATTAATTTAATTGAAAGATCCGATTCTTAAATTGTCCATAGGTTCGCAAGGGTAAATTATCAGGGTCGTATTTTTGGTATTTGTGTTTCTTTTCTATAGGTGGTGTAGTTGGAAAATACATATGATTTGAATAAATGGGTTATAATCTAAGAAAATCAAATTCTGAGAAATTTTTGACTATAATTAATATCTTATTACATTTTAATCTAAATATAATAAAAATTAAAATGCAATTAAAATCTCAATTTTATTAAAAAATTTTCAGAACTTGATTTTCTTAGATTACAACCCAAATACCATGAATATCACAAAAATGACACCCTTTGTAAGAATTATGGCCAGTTAGATACATAAGTTTTGTTAGTCCTAGAGTATTGCTTGATTATGATAAAATATAAGCACGTAATTGAAAGGATTCTTCTTTTAGTCTATCGTAATAATATATTTCAGCTAGAAACAATATTAAAACAGGACCCTAAACTATAATAATATAACTCACATTTGAGTTTGCATAGAGTTTATATATAAACTTTGCTAAAAGTTGCTTATTTTTACAAATTTACTTATCCTACAGACCCATTATCTCAATAACCAGTAATTCAATTTTAATGATATTTATACCATTGGATTCGTCTAACCGAGAGGAATTGAATCTAATGGTAGTAATTTCATCTTTCTAGCATTAATATTGACCAAGTTATACCATACAAAATAATTTTAATTGTGTGTTTGTACTATATTTATTAGTTCTATTAGTATGGTTCGGGGTCCTGTTAAAACATATATTAATTATATACAATATATATATATATATATATATAAAATTAATGAACATTCTAATTCTTTTAGTTCTTTAACTATAGGATACATAAACGAATTAAAGTACTTGGGATCTTTTGGCCCTGAAATGATTGCTATTATTAGAAAATATTCTTTTTTAACACGTTCTTTAGGACATATATTGGTACTATCTAGCAAACTTCCATCTTTTGTTGAAAATTTGGTAACCATTAATGGATCCTGTTAATGCAATATCTCTATTATCTTCGAAATATCCATTGAAAAGTAGTTTTTAGTATCTGACATCATCAAATATATCTTCAATTTTGCCATCTGATCCAAAACCTTGACAGTGGGTATAATTTATACAATATTTCAGCCTTTCAGAATCTTTTGGGTTTTGATACTGAATCTTAAGATGGTCTTTAATAGAAAAAGGCCATCTGATATCGAGGAAGTCATTTTTCCATTGAAGGTCTAGTTTGAAATCTCGATATATGGGAGGTTTGCTAGGAAAATGGGGTTCTGAGCATTTTTTATTAAAATTTTAATTTTTATTGCATTTTAATT